TTGCTACATCTTTCTGTGTTGATATTTCCCATATTCATAAACCTATGAATGTACAATGTATACATGCTTGAGAAGTGTTGTATTTGTTTGTTTAGAAAGAATTGCCTTAACATGAATAGGTGAAAAGGAGTCTAACTTTGAACAGGTTGTTTTATGTTGCTCACTAGCTACATGTTCAAAAACAAATAAAAGTTACATGTTTAAACACATTTAGAAAATATTGTTCAAACATAACATTAGGACACAAATGTATCTGTTGGGGAAAGCTTTAACAAACACCGAGTAAAAGAATACTGCGGCCTATTGCACCTAATACCAGTTATGAATTGCATCCTTTAGTATAACCAGGTTACTAAATTTGCCATTCTAAAAGTAATGTTTAGAAACACTTTTGTTTGTTTTTCATTATAGGCTGGTAGCGATGGGGAGAGCATTGGAAATTGCCCATTTTCTCAGCGTCTCTTTATGATTCTGTGGCTAAAAGGTGTTATATTTAATGTTACAACAGTAGACTTGAAAAGGTAAGATTACAATACAGCATATTGTTTAATTTTGGTTTTCTATATCCTCTCATCTGTTATTTTCAGTTGTAACAGAGGGCTTTCTTGGGGCTAGTCTGTCATTGGCCCACCCACCTGTTTCTGGGCCAACTGCCCGCCTCCTTTCCTGACATGGCTTGATGATGCATAATTATAGTGTTAATTAGGCAGGAGGCTGCCCATTCTTGCCTTGATGCCAGGGGGAACCATCTGCAGCTCTGTTCCTCCCCTACACCACAGCCCATGCCTTGCAGATGGCATCCAGATGACCAAATGCTCTGGGCCTACAGCCAGACCAAGCTTAGGCCTCGTTGTCAGGCCTTAGACACACACATTCATACTGCCCTCCTCTCACTAGGGCCTCTCACACTCCACCCTCTCTCACAGGGTCTGTTTCACACATTGACAACTTATACCGCCTTGCTCTCTCCTGGAGCGGGCCCCTTCGGCCATAGGCTTTATCTAGCTCATGCCTTGGGTGGCAGATGTACCATATTTTGGGCCTTTCCTGCGACACTCCCCAGAGCAGTGGTCAGCCAATTACCTGACTGGGTCCAAGATTGCCCTGGTCCCTCCTGGGGCAACTCTCTATACACAGACACAGCTCCCAGCCCTCTGGTTTCCACCCCCAGTGGGGCTTCTTATCTCTGCCCCCTCACTGGGGCCACAGGGCTTCCCTCCCCAGTGGGGGCTCAGGTGACCATAGCCATGCCTGGCCCCCTTGTACCCACAGTGTTGTGGGGGCTAGGGGTTAAGGTGCCCTAACCTGCCTTTCATCGAGGTGGTAACTGGCCTGGTATTTCCTGGGGGCTCCCACACCACCAGGAGCCCCACCTGGCCACCTGTCTCCAGCAGGGTGCAGTTTTAGGTCATGCCCAGGACCAAGAGCCTCCAAACCATCCCTTAAGCTTCTGCCCTTACCTCCAAGATGCTGCATACAGCCTTGCAGCCAGGCAATGTTTCTACCTGGCCTGCCAGCAGCAAACTGCCCTGTTTATATGGGCGGCCAGAGATATAAATGGCTGGCACAATCAAGCACCTGCTGGCTGCTTGGCTCAGCCCTTAACGTGGCAGGCACAAACAGTGCCCTGCCACATCAGTCTAGCATTTTCAATGCAACTTTAACGAATGCATCTCACAGTAAGGTCGAAACATGTTGACAAATATACTGCTACTTCGTATTTTTATGGCTGCTCGTGGTGTGGATTCTGCTTTCGTCTATGTGGGTGTAAATCAGGAATGATGTAGTAGAACCAGCATGGTACACCATAGAGATAACTGAGTGGAGTGTCTAGACCAAGATATTTAAAATATGGTAGAAATATTAAACTAATTCATACTCGTACCACTGTTGTTTATAAAATGATCACCCTAGCACTTGCACCACAATTTAAAATTGGAAAGAAGGAATTTGTTAAGAATAAGTTTAAGCCATTTTACTAGTTTTAAATAATCCTAGTAAACTAGACTCAAACCGGGATAGATAACTACCATAAAGAGCAGTTATTTAAAGTATAGTTCATATTGTTACTAACAGATCTTATTTGCATGTTTTAGAAAGCCTGCAGATTTACAGAACTTAGCACCAGGAACAAACCCTCCCTTTATGACTTTTGATGGTGAAGTGAAAACTGATGTCAATAAAATTGAGGAGTTCTTAGAAGAAAAGTTAGCACCGCCACGGTATTGTACTGTTAAATGAATGTGTGCTCATGCGTTTGCGGGCCTTTATGCTACTTTCTGAGAAGCTTGTTGATTTCAGTGGAAGCAGGATCAGGTCCTTGATTATTTTCATGCCTTAGAAATAAAATCTTAAATACTGGGTTATGGTTGGGGTCCAGTTGAACTCAGAGCTTTGCTCTTGACCAGGGGTTCCCACTCTGTGGTACACATACCCCTGAGGAGGTACACAAGACATCTCTGGGGGGTACACAGGAGAAATTGCGTAGTGGTGGATTTAATTTTCATTTTAAATGTCATCGGCATTTAAGAGGTTAAAATATAAGCTGTATGCTGGTAGGGGTATGTGTGCAGCTGGTAAATCTGGAAGGGGTATGCAATAAGAAAAAGTTTGGGAACCACTACTCTGGACTTCCCTGGAAGCAGAATCATGTTCTAGCACTGCATAGTGAACCTGTTCCTCTGAGATTCTTAATACTTTACAACATGTTGCTTGCATACAAAAGTAACAGTGTGTGGAATTACAGGAACACACACAAGGTATTGTACTTCCCGTATAAAATTTTTAGTGTTCCCAATAAGTGTTTCCCTCCTTATATACTCTGGGACAGGTCCTCAGCTAGTGTGAAAGGAAAAAGATCTATTAAATGCAATGGAGCTCTGAAGGTTAACACCAGCTGAGAATGCTGTTCTCTGCATCTGCTCCTAGTTAAAAGGATATCAGATATTATTAGACTGTATTGTCCACTATGTGGAAGTTTACATTATGTAGTAGTCCATTTCATGATCAATATTCTTTTAAAAAAAGGAATCTAAAAAAAGTACACTCTGCAGAATTTTATTAGATTCCTTATAAACTCAACCCAAAGATACTAGATCTACTGAAGTCAATAAATGAGAGATTCCTGGTTAAGGCATTGGGATCAGGCCTATACAACTGTGCTCAATTGACTCTATCCACAATTTTTTTATTATGCCATGACATTATTACTCAAGGGGTAAACTTTACACAGATTCAGTGGGTCCAATAAAGAGGGGGCTGCACACCATTAGGTACCTGATACTGTATTTCTCCTTGTTTACTGACAGTTTGAGATTTTCCTCTTTCCCCCAAGTTCTAATACGTTTATTATTGATGGGTGGTTAAGAAAAGCCTTATCAGTAATAAAAGTTAGTGGCAGTACAAAACAAATATTACAAAAATGGTTTTCAAGTTAGGTGATGTTTCCTATCAAATGTATAGTTAGTCATACAGATATTCAGATAAAGTACATTGAAACTGAATGTGGTAAAAGCAACCGGTAGTTGTAAAATATTCTCATATTTTTAATTCCTCAGGTACCCCAAGCTTGCACCAAAGCACCCTGAATCTAATTCTGCAGGAAATGATGTGTTTGCCAAATTCTCTGCATTCGTAAAGAACCCAAGGAAAGATGCTAATGAAAGTACATACTTACAATCCTTCCATCGTTTTTGGTGATTACTACAAAAAAAAAAAAAAAAAACCAACCCAACAAAACAAACAAAAAAAACCAAACCAGAGCTATGACTGTAATGTTAAGTGGTGGTTTTGCATTTTGTCCCAGGGGCTCAGTTTAAAATCAAACACATCTGTGGGTTTCTGGGACATACTTGCTGCAGATTCCAAATCTAGAAATTAACTTAGTCAAGAGAAAATATAGCACTTGCATACTATGGTAAAAAAAATTGCAATGATTATTTACTTGCCTTAGTTAGCTAACTCTTCTAGAACCCCACTCACAGGGTTTTGCCTGAACAGCATTAAAGACGCCAATCCATAAACATGTTATTATGTGAAAGAGTTACTCCCACTGATTATAGTGATACTACTCACATGCACATACATTTTCAGAAGCAGGCCTCGACATGGAATACAAAGAGCAAGTGCTGCATCTTTTATAATTTTACAGAGCCTATACACAGGCAGCAAGGCTGCTCTGATGCACTGCAATAACAGTGCATCAGAACAGACTTGATTCAAGTCTGCTGGAGCATGGTAATAACTGTGCTCCAGCAGACTTCAGCATCACATGCATCAGCATCCCTACATTGAAAAATGGTAGCGGAGGCACTTTAACTAAAGTGCGTTCAATGTACATTAGTTTATGCACTCCAGCAGACTCAATTAATTGAGTCTTCTCTGACCTGCTGGATTTCCAGCACATTGGAGCAGGCTTTCTGCACATGTATAAGAGCCCTAAGTATTGTAAATCTAAGAATGAAACACTCCAACATAAATTTTTAATGTATAGAATACTCAGTTTTGGTCTAGTAAAACTATTTCAACTTTTGAAAAAACTTTTTCAACTATTTCAACTTTTGAAATAGTTGAAAAAATTAAAGCAATAGTACTGCACAAGTAAGATCTTTCAAGGAAGTGTTGGAAGGAATTGGATTTCTCCCAAAATGTAGGAATTTATGCCTGTGCAAATGGCTTGATTACATAATTAAGATTTATTCCGAGACAGCAATTCTGGCACGCATCTCTACAACATGCCTAAAAAATTCCTAATCTACCTCCATGTTCGGATATGACAGGAATCCATCTCCTTGTGAGCCAATTAAAATTCACTGCCTGTAAAATCATCTTCCTATAGGTCTTCATAAAGCTGAAGCAAACAAGTGAAATAGGAAGCCAAGAAAGGCTTGGAATTCAGCTCTCTCAGTTTGTAAGGATGCTGTGCCACATCCTTAATTCACAGCTTCTCTTCCTCTTCCTCAACTGCAAGCACCTACTCTGGACACTTTTAAGAAACATTTGGATGCTTATCTTGCTGGGATCCTTTGATCCTAGCCGACTTCCTGCCCCTTGGGCAAGAGGGTGGGACCCGATGATCTTACGAGATCCCTTCCAGCCCTAATGTCTATGAAATCAACAGATAACTCTGTATGAACAAGGTTTTGATAGTCTGGCCCTCCCCAAGGACCACTCTTCTCGTGTCATTCTATTTAGAGCCAGTGCACAGCCTTCCACCTGTCATCCAGAACGTACAAAACCTGAAGAGCCCCTAATGTTATTGCCAATATTCAGGAGCTTCCTGATTTTCTGTTAGGGGAGTAGGGTGGATGCAAATTCAATATCCTCTTAGTAAATAAGCAAGATTGCAAAGGATGATTACAAAGCCTTAGTTTCTCCTCAACACAGAAGAAACAGGTCTTAGTCAGTTTCTCCAGGATGCTTGGTACCCAAGGAGGTGTTTCTGTGCTTACTCTCAGGGACATGGTCATAACTGGTTACTAGACACATAAGAAGGTTGTCTTTACAGAAAACAGATCTTCCTCCATAAAGCTCTACAGCCAGGTCTACACTTACAATTTGCTAGTATAATTGTTGGTTTAAAGATGGGATTTTTGCTATATTGGCAGAAATTGGAATATACATGAATAAAAGAAACAGGATGAGGGAAGGGGTTGTTGGTATAGCCTGTGTCAGTTGTGGAGTTGGGTTAGGTATAGCATCAAAATCTATCCAGTTGTCTACAGTATGCAGATTTCCCACTATAGTTACACTGGTAAATCTTGAATAGTATGTTTTATCTACCAAGAAAGGGCGGTGTATAACTGGAAGCAGAAACACTTAAACCTTATTTGGATGGTTTGAGAGAATGAAGTAAATTGAAATCCAACAGCTTAGAGGAAAAACAGAAGATACAACTCACCCACTAACTAACCAAAGTCAGATGGACACAACTTGTAGCCATTTTACGAAATGTAGGCTTTAGGGAAGGGTTTGAAATAGAAGATGATAACATTTTTATGAGAAAACCTGACATAAGGACTGATGTGGGAGGACCTTAGTATGAGGGGCACCAGTATTTGGAAATCTTTCATCTCTTGGGTTTTTGTTTGTTTAGGTTTACAATGATTCCAGCTCAGTTTCCTATAATTTTTTTTCCCCCTGAACCTAGATTTGGAAAAATCCTTGCTTAAGGCTTTAAAGAAGCTGGATAACTATTTAAATACTCCGTTGCCTGATGAAATTGATGCCTATAGCACTGACGACGTTACTGTTTCTAGTAGGAAATTCCTGGATGGAGATGAACTCACCTTAGCAGACTGCAACCTCTTACCAAAGCTTCATATCATTAAGGTTTGGCATGTCTTTTCTATGCGGTGCATCACTGTTGTTATTATTTCACAGTGGCATGTAAACAATGACAGAAAAATGCCATATCTTTATAATATAATATACCATAGTAGACCCATGACTGCTACCTAAATGTAGCAACAGTATTGTTTGATAACTGATCTTCAACTTAACACAGTCCATTTCATTGCGACGGTTAGGAGACTCAAGTTGAAGATTATGTCAGTAACACATCTAATTACTTATATGGGCCATTGCAAAAGTCTGAGCATTTCAAATATACAATTTGTGCAGGTTGTCAGCATAAGACACAAACTAGGTTCGTATATAGATAAATCCAAATCCACAATGCACAGATTAATCAAAAATGAAATCTGTACGATGACAGGTGTTTCTCATACAGCCATACACATAATGACAGTTTGGGGGCTTAAATGCATTCCTACATCATCTCTCTTATTTGAGCTGGAGACTACTCCAACCAAATGCTATATGGAGCTCATTTTGCATGTTATGTTTTTTCCTACCCCCAGTCCCTTCTTATCATTTCCTCCTAAATCTGCTGGAATTTTGAATTTGCCAGGTTTTAGTACACCCCCTAGGCACTGGACTACCACTCTTCTGAAACTGCTTAGGATCACAGCCAGGTTAGGGTTGTGGAAGCTGTGCTTTCACGTCACTGGACAAATCTTTGGTGAGAGGAAGATGCAGATGAATCAAGTGGGTAAATCAGTGGACTAATGCAGTTTTGAAGCCCTTGCCTTATGGATTTCTTCTAGATAAGGGAAAATAATTTATAAAATTTAAAATTTCCTGAAGTTAAGAAAGAATTGTCACAAATTGTGGACCTCAAAAAATAAGCTGTTTGTATTAAAATGTTGACCAGACACTCATTTGGACATTTCTGTTTAGTTAGAACAGGCTTTTCAAATCCAGTTCTAGAATTTGGGGGGGCAGTTAGAGATTAGTAGGACCTGGGGGTTAATTTCCTTAGACAGCTATGAAAAACATCAGCCACTGGTCCTACAAAACCTTTCCATCTGGAGCTCACATTTTGAGTTGACATGACAGTCTCTCTGAGGTGTGGGCTACACAAACATTTTGTTAGTTCAGAATGTCTATTTAAACACCCCCCCCCGAAAAGATACAATCACATGCCTGACTGCCCTGGGCATGCTCATAAAAATCTTCATACAAGTGCATAGGTATAGCTTATTCTAAGGAAGCTGGTTCAGGCTGAACTTCCGAGAACTATTTTTCTGGTGTAAGCTGCATCTTGACAGAGTAAGTGTGTGTGGGAGGTGGAGGGAGAAAGGTCAGTGGGGTATGGAACTTATGGAATAGTCATACTGGCAAACTCTAATGAATCGACCTCCCCTCCTATCTGTTACTTTCTTCCTGCATGTTGCCTTTTTTCCATTTTTCTGTTTTAGCAATCAATTTGGGATGCTTTACTGGAAGAGACTCTATTGATTACATGCATTATGTTTTGCATCATGTCTCTAGCAATCTAATCTCTCTTTTTCCTCTCCTTTTAAGGTTGTGGCAAAAAAATACAGAAATTTTGAGTTTCCACCTGAAATGACAGGGGTCTGGAGATATTTGAATAATGCATTTGCTAGAGATGAATTCACAAATACTTGTCCTGCAGATCAAGAAATTGAGTTTGCCTACTTGAATGTTGCAAAGAGAATGAAGTAATGGAAGAAAAGACCCCTCTGCTTTTCATTTCTGCCAAGATTTGTATGGGAATGGACCAAGATAAAGAAAAAAGAGTTGTGCAGCATAACTTCAAGTTCTGTCACTGGCCAATCCTTCTTTCATGAAAACTGTATGGCATCATCTGGTCACTTAATTGTGTGCCAGTTTGTGAGTATGTACATGATATAAGCACACATGCTTATGTGCCTGTGTGCTTATCTATGTATATACAAACTGGCACACAATTAGATTCATAGATGCTAGGGTCGGAAGGGACCTCAGTAGGTCATCGAGTCCGACCCCCTGCCCTGCGGAGGAAAGAGCACTGGGGTCAGACTACTGATAATGCTGATAAGTGAACAGATAATGCTATAACATTGTTATAGCATACATGTGTGTGTGTTATGCTTGCTGTATTAAAGACATTGGATTCAAATGCACACTTTTAATAAAATTAAAGTAATGGTCCAGGTCACACAATTACTGCAATTTTTCAGGCTGGTGATATGCTAAAATACTAAGAGTGTAACCTGTTTGTCATGTATAAACTGTCACTATTGCTGCCTCCTATTTCTGTTTTATTTCAGAGCTATTGCCAAACTTGGTATTTGTCTTTGTCTGCATCATCTATGGCCTCCATAAATCTTGCAAAGCCATAGGTCAGCTCTTGGCTGCACAGCAGACTGGTTTATCAAGGAAAAAGGTTACCTTCTATGTGGAACTAACTCCGTCTTCTAAAACATCCAGTTCTCTGTTCCAGAGACCTGTATATAAGGTCAATGGAGGTTTTCCAGGAAGGGGAGAGAAGCACAGGTTGTTACTATGCAGTAACATTTGGTATTGGTATTTAAAGAGGGAGAGCTTCTGGCCCCATTATCAGGAGGAGAAGTAGGGAACTGGGGGTCTCACTTCTTTTAGTCCTTTGATTCTTGTTTAGTTTTGAAAAACAATATGGAAGGAAGGGCCTAAGAAAGAAGCATACCTCTTCCTTCTTCCTAGTTGAACTCCAGAAAACGCAAAATGGCCAGTACCGATGAAAATATACTCTCTTGGCCCTAGAAAAGTTGGTCATCAGAAATCCATGGACTCTGAACTGGTCACAGCCCCAGTAGTTGCTTTCTTTTGGTAGGGAGCATCAGAGATCATGTACAACCTACAGCCCATACAGTTGCTTATGGTGGGAGATGAAACTAATTTTAGCCTTATGGTCACCAAAGTCTCTCTCTGATGCTTTTGCACATTTTTTATAGGATTTGAGCATCTCTTAAAGCAATATATTGGTGCATGCTAGGTTGGCATCAAGTAAAATGAAAATAATAGGAGGTGTCCAGAAGAGATTTCAATTTGAGAAAGCGCCAACCTTGCTTGTATCAAACAGACTCTACTTTTACAAGTTTTACCTATGATGGTGTCTTTCCAGTTTTCAGGTAAATACTTCATGTACCCTGTTTAATCCCAAACATGTACAGTTCTGATGTACATTTTATGTCACTGTCTTTTTTAAATGGTGTTAAAATACTTAAATTGTAAATTTGTCATCTTTAGCAAAAACACACAACCAGTTTTGTAATACCATACTTAGGTTCTGGGGGTTGATAGCTGAGCAGTCATGCAGCAAATGTTACTAGCTTCTGCACTGTATTTTCAAAAAAGAAAAAGAAAAATAAGTATATATAAAACCTATATACTCTTTTCATATGCCTTACAAATTTGACTAGAAAATACACAAATTCATAAGTAAATTGAATGATGGCTTGTGCTTATTTCAGTGCTTGTCCCCTGATTATATGCATTCTGATTGTAGCCTAGATTTTGAGAAACAGAGGGTGCATATGAGACATTTGCTGCAGAGTAGACTAATTAGCTGTGCAGTGTCTCACATTTAGACATGCGGCCCTGTTAGGCCGCTTGAAACCAATAAACTCTGATGTAGCTGGCTGGGGTATGAGTGTGCTTCAGTACAAGGGATGCCTGCCAGCTAGCCCCACAATAAGGAACTCTGCAGCCCCTCCACAGCACACTGAGTCAGGTTGGAGTAGCCCAAAGCTGGCAGGTTGAGCCTCCCTGGGTCCCCTGCCAGCTGGGGCTGCTCTGACACTTAAAACCCTCTAAGATCCAACTAGATGGGATGATCTAGTTGGGGATGGTCCTGCTCTGAGCAAAGGGTTGCACTAGATTATTTCCTGAGCTCTTTTCCAACCCTAATTTTCTGTGATTCTATGACCCAGCTCCATACGTTGTAGTCCCGGGCACTTGTAAATGTAGCACCCAGGAGCAATAAATTCCAGTGAAATATGTGCCAGAGTTTATTGCTGCATGCTAATAGCATGTGCAGACACACAAAATGTTAGCAAAGCTGATCTGTTTTTAAAGAACTAGGGAAGAGGGCTGAATGCCCTGATCCTACTGTCAGATCTACACCGGTGCAAAGATCAGTGCTCACAGGCTCCAGGGGAGCAGGGCTACGGGAGGGGCTGCAGCTACCCCAAAGTTTGCTGTAGACCCCCCTCCTCTATAGCCCCCTCGCTGGGAACCGCCTGGCACAGCCCCGCCCCACGCACAGATCCGGGGGCACACACCACCTCCCCACATGCCCTCCCAGGGTGTGCATAGTGGTGGTGCTGGGAGGAGAAGGCCGAATGGGGGGAAAAGCTTGCATGCAGCATCCACCACTACCACTGCCACCAGCTATTGGTGGATAGCGGCAGCCCAGTGGCCAATCAGGACAGCAAGTTGAGGCAGGGGTCAGGGAGGTGCTGCAATGTGTCATGTGGGGCTGGTGGCGCCTGGCACACCCCTCCTCTTCCCTCAGGTAAGAGGCTAATGCACTGGGGGAGACACCACCTGTGCCCTGGGGCGCGCTCCTTCCCCACCCTCCCACCCATGCATAGCCCTTACGACCTTTTCAAGTACCCACAGTTGACAACCCCGGATATAAGTTATTCACCAGATTGTTGTAGATATTGGTGATGGGGGGAAGCATTAAATACAAAGTAAGACGCATTTTCACAGGCCAGTCAAAGCAAGGAAGTATTTCATACATCTTACTGTGATTTATTTTGCTGTTTACAAGTTTGATATATGTAAAGAAGGTCTTATTACTTTAAGGACAGATGGTAAATGCAGAAGGTCTATAATAGTTTCACAGTTTGTAGGGTCGGAAGGGACCCGAGCAGATCATCAAGTCCGACCCCCTGCCATGGGCAGGAAAGAATGCTGGGGTCAAATGCCCCCGGCAGGGTGTCTGTCTAGCCTCCTTTTGAAGACCCCCAGGGTAGGAGCGAGCACCACTTCCCTTGGAAGTTGGTTCCAGACCCTAGCCGCCCTGATCCAATAATAAAGGATTGGTTTAGACCAGCGATTCTAAGCCAGGGTACCCAGGTACCCTGGGGTACCTTGAGATCAGTTTAAGGTTCCACAGGGAACGGTGCAATATTAGTACTGCTAAGTTTACCAGTATCTATACATGATCCAAGAGACAAACACAGTGATCCGTAGTGTTAAAGGGTTCAGGGGTGTCATAGGGTGCCTCTAAGGTTAGCACCATTAGGCATACAAACATAATTCACACAAAGCTAGAGATTTCAAATAGGAATCCATAGTGTCAAAACCATCTTGCCCTTTTGTGGTTCTTCACAACAGAACATTTGTTCTACTGTCTTTTTGTAGTCAAAAACTGAGCAGTGCCTCAAGTCTAACAAGGCTGAGAACCACTGGTTTAGGCAAATACCAAAGAAAGGAACCAAAACTGCCTCTCACCTCCACTCCAGTGCCTTCACTGAGCTGTGTCTTCTCACAACCCAGCATTATTTGTTACAAATGAAACCTGCCACTCCTAGGAGAGAGAATAAAATCTCCACAGCACACTGCAACCTGTTAACCTGCACCTAGACAGTCCCATAGGCTTGGCTCCACATTCCTCATTACAGCTGCTTTTATTCAGCTGAGTTGGTGTTAGTGTTTTGTGAAACATTTTCATTAAGTGATTAGGGCCAATCCCAGTCTGATCAGCCACAGGAGGATGAAGAGGAGTATGTAAAGGCCCAAAATGAAAAAGAGGCAGGTACTCACTAGTTGCCTTTATAGGCTGCTCTTGGGAGCCTTGCTAATGTTATAACAATCCTTTGAAAAATAAAAGCAAAAAGAGAAACCCTATGCTCGCTGTTTCTTGCTATTTTCTTTCATTTTTGGAGAGGTATTTTTTGAGAGGGGCCAGCTGTCATTGATACCAGAAAAAAACAGGTCCAGATTTTCTGCCTCTGTCAGCCCATGCCTTGCTTATTACAACTATAAATCATTTGTATCACCAATTTGCCATCAGACCATTGTATTAGTTATGTATAAACATACTAGGAGGGACAGTCCCTGCCTCCAAACATTTACAATCCAAGATGCCAGTACTGCAAAATACAATGCCTGGGTGTACTTCTGCACCAGCTGAATTGAAGCATCAGGGCCTAAATAGAAAACAGTGAAAGAGAAGCAAGGCGACATGTACCTGGCCACACAACAGGTCAATGGCAGAATTACCCAAGCATGGTGTGTTAGACTCTGATGTTTATACAGTGGCACACAAAACCTCATTAGCGCATAATGATATGTTACAATGTATCTGCAAAAAAACTCCTGTGTTCCCCAAGTGATGTGTTATTTAATGTTATACTAGCTTTCTGCATCTTGTATTCCTAGCACAGATCAGCCACATGGGTTCAGGTACAATCATTTTAACAGCTCAGACTCTCAACTTCTGGCTTTTGCACATGCCTAGGTGCCTGGTCTTGCTGCCCTTACTTGTGTGAATAGTCCCTTACTTGCTCTTACTTGTGTGAATAGTCCCATTGATATCTTCAGAGGACTACAATGGGCCTATTCACATAGCAGCAACAGAGTGCAGCTCATGCTTGCTAGAGCCACATCAAAACTATCATCTTAATATATTCTACTTCATGATTTACAGTGAAATTGTAGGAAAAACTTCTGCTGATCCTCACCAACTGGCT